GGTGTGTGGGGGTGTGTGTGTGTGTGTGTGTGTGTGTGTGGTTGTGCGCGCGCGCGCGCGTGTGTGTGGACACGGAGAGAAGGGGGCGGGATTGAGCCCTGAGACACCAGGAGCCGCAGACACTGGAAGAAGCCAAGGGCTGGAAAATAAAGGAGCTCCCCAGACCTTGGAGTCAAGACATCAAAACCCCCGGCAAGTTCTGGGAACAAGGGAGCTTTCAGATTAACTCAGAGGCTGCAAGTGTCGTTGCCTTCCCCAAGGTTTGCCCCTCCTTAAGCCACGCCCACACTGCCTGCTTCTCAGCAATGAGGGACTAAGGTTTAGCGCTCTGGACCACCAATGCTAGTTCACTCCCCTCCCCAGGAGTCCAGCCAGCGCTCAGCGCTGCCCCACCCCCACTGTTCGGAGATTGGCGGGACCCCTACCTCTCCCCCTCCAGTTTGCTGTTCCGCCCCTGGCCCATGAAACTCCACCTCCTCTCCACCCTCTGCTGGCGGAGATTGGTGGAGCTCCAGCAGCGATGCCTAGTGATTGGTCCCCATGGATGATGGTAACCGGTGAGATCCCGCCCCCAGTCGGAGCTGGAGTCTGGGGGCACTGCTCAACTGTGCTGGGGCTGGCGCGGCTTGAGCCGCCGCCGCACTGACAGCTCGGTCTGCGGACCATGGAGACCGGTGCCGGCCCACATCCGCAGCGCCTGTTCGTTTGCCTGATGCCACTCTGTCTCTCTTTGCTTTTGGGGCCAGGGAAGCCCGGGACCGCGGAGGAAGGTGAGGAGACTGGTGGCTGTTGTTGGAGCCTGGGATGCCAAAAGATAGGGAGCTGAAGCGCTGGGGTACTGGGAAGGAGTCCTATGGAGAGACTGGAGTCTGTATTGAGGTTTGAAGCAAGCGGGCAGCGAGAAGCAAAGAATTGGAGAGACAGGGAAAAAGGGAATTGAGCTCGGGGGGCTGGAGACCGGAAAGCCTGGGAAAGAAAGAGACCGAGAACTGTGGGAGCCAGAGGCGGCGATCCAGGGGCCGGTGAGAAGGACAGGCTGAGCGATTGGAGGTTGGAGGTATGGGGGCTGGAGAAGACGAGAGCAGAGGGGACAGAGAGGTGCGGAGGTGAGATCGGAGCCCGAACAGCGGTGGCTTGGGGACCACTGTGCGGCCAATAGGAGGTGGAATGCTGGGGGCGGGGTGGGGGGAGCGGGGTTAGGGAGTGGGGGCTGGGTCCAGGAGCTGCCCGATGTGCTTGCTGATCCAGGATCTGTCCGCAGTGCTGGATTTGGAACGTAGACTACCCGGAGCGGTCTGCTTTGCCGGGTTTGAGGGTACCCGCAGTACCTACCAGAGCCTCGAATCTTGCCTCTGATTCTGAATTTGGGGAACCTGTACGTTCAGTTGAATCCAGAGGCGTCATACCCAGGTGCAGAATCCCGAGGAGCTGGAATTTGACGTTTCGAAGGCAGGGTTGGTCAGGATGCTGGATTTCTGAAGCTATCCGATATGCAATTTCAATATGCCCGTCAGTTATACTGAAATCAGAATTCTGTTGGCGGTCCTACCCACTGTCACTGATGCCTTTGGGGCCAATCATGTTAGAAGCCCTCTCTTTGGAACCCCATCCCCTTGCTTAAGCTCCAGATGAGTTAAGTAATCTTTCAAGATTTGGGGATGACCTGGGCCCCTGTCTCTGAGCTGCTGCTGTGCTGTCCAAACCTGTGCTTCTCTGGGACTGATACTGAGAGCAGAATTCAGACTGCTGGGCTGATGCCTCCTGGGGAAAGAAAATGACTCCAAGCCTCCTCGGTGCAGGAGAGGTCATGGTTTTAATACATATAAAAGGACCACTGACATTCTTTCAAAAGCAGTCGAGGTGACAGCCTCTGGGAAGGGGGCTGGCTGAGGAGATGAGAGATTTTGATTTCCCCTGCTACCGGGCTGGTCTCTCCACTTCATTTTCCCCAGAGGCCTTGGTAGTCAAAGTAAAAAGGTTCAAGTTTCCTCCATCTTTGGTGACTCTAGACCTCAGAGGAGCCCCTGAATCTGAGTGGATTCTGAGATACATACAGGAATCCTCTGATACACTCACTTTCTCCCTCTTCTTGGCACTTAGTTATAATTTAGGAAACCTAGGAAAGCCGGGGGGAGGGTTCGCTGACAACCCCCCCCCCATTTTAGAGTCATCCTTAGAGTACTTGTCATGGACTCTGTGACAGGCTGAATAATGACTCCCCCCACCCCAATATGTCCACATCCTAATCCCTACAACCTGTGAATGTTATCCTAAAGGGCAAAAGCCTTTTCAGATATGATTAAGGATCTTGAGATGGAGAGATCATCCTGGATTATTTGGATGGGCCCAATATAATTGCAATGGTCCCTATTAATGGGATGTAGAAGGAGTCAGAATCAGAGGAAAAGGCGATGTGATGACAGAAACAGAGATTGGAGTGATGTGCTTTGAAGATGGAGGAGAGGGTCACAAGCCAAGGAATCCTGGTGGCCGCTAGAAGCTGAAGAAGTTCAGGAAATGCATTCTCCCCTCTGAACCTTCATAAAGAACTGATCTTGCTGACACCCCGACTTTAGACCAGTGAAACTAACTTCTAACTTCTGACCTCCAGAACTGTAAGAGAATGAATTGTTGTTTTCAGCCACTAAATTGTGGTAATTTGTTACTGCAGCCACAAGAAACTAATACAGGCTCCTACCCTAAATATATGTCTACCCCTCTCTGGACTTAAGCTACTCACACCCCCTTCTGGAAATGTATGAAGCAGAAAAAGCTCGTCTGTGTCCTTTGTCAGATTTGTCATCCCTTAGCAAATTCACTGAATTCATTAAAGCGTTCACCTTCCTGGCTTCTGACATCTCTGTTTTCTCCTTTTCCTAGTCATTCTCCTGGATTCCAAAGCCTCCCAGGCTGAGCTGGGTTGGACTGCACTGCCGAGTAATGGGGTAAGTGCAAACCTCTCTCTCTGTCTCGGGGATCCCGTGGTCTTCCTGACTCTGGTCTATTTGCTCCCCGTGGTTACATCAGATCAAAATGCTCCCTGGAACATTGTGGATGGCAGTAGCCCTGGCTTTAAACCAGAGTCACCTCTTAGAAAATGTTGATTCTTCAGCCAGTCAAAAATAATAAATAAATAAATAAATAAATAAATATTTCTTTCTTAAGGAAGTCTCCTCCAATTTATTCAATAATGAGCAAGAAGAAAGAATGAGTCTAAGGCCTCTGGATGTAGCCAAAGCTGGACAGTGCCTTGCACACAGTAGATCGATCCTCCAAGCAGTGTTGCTGACTGATAGATTGTCAGAACAAGCAAGACTTGGAATCCTAAAAGAGGCTTGGAAACAGGGTTGGGGCGGGGACATGCGGCAGTGTGACAGTAGCTTGGTGTCATGGAAAGGGCACTGGGTGGAGAGCTAGGAGACTCCAGGCATCATTCCTACCTCTTCTAATCACCAGCGTGCGTATCTAGTCAAGTCGCTCTCCCTCTGGAGCCTCAATTTCCCTTCTATAAAAATTAAGAATTGGACTTGGTTGTCTTCATTGTTTCTCCTGGGTTTGCATCTTATAATTTCAGGGGTGTGTGTGTCGAGTAGTGTGGGGCGGCGGGGTAGGAGGGAAAGAAGAAGGCTAAATGATGGGACGGGAGGGTTTCAGCCTGGGTCACCGAGAGGGCTCGACCTACTGGGGGCGCCTTGGCTCCGAACTGCCCACATCTTTGTTCTCCTCCTCAGTGGGAGGAGATCAGCGGCGTGGACGAGCACGACCGTCCCATCCGTACATACCAGGTGTGCAACGTGCTGGAGCCCAACCAGGACAACTGGTTGCAGACCGGCTGGATCAGCCGCGGCCGCGGACAGCGCATCTTCGTGGAGCTGCAGTTCACACTGCGTGACTGCAGCAGCATCCCCGGCGCCGCGGGCACCTGCAAGGAGACTTTCAACGTCTACTACCTGGAAACCGAGACCGACCTGGGCCGCGGGCGTCCCAGCCCCGGCGGCAGCCGGCCCCGCAAGATCGACACTATCGCAGCGGACGAAAGCTTCACTCAGGGCGACCTGGGCGAACGCAAGATGAAGCTGAACACGGAGGTGCGCGAGATAGGTCCGCTCAGCCGACAGGGTTTCCACCTGGCCTTCCAGGATGTGGGCGCATGCGTGGCGCTGGTCTCTGTGCGCGTCTACTACAAGCAGTGCCGCGCCACAGTGCGGGGCCTGGCGGCATTCCCAGCCACCGCGGCTGAGAGCGCCTTCTCCACGCTGGTGGAGGTGACCGGAACATGTGTGGCGCACTCAGAAGGGGAGCCCGGCAGCCCCCCGCGCATGCACTGCGGCGCCGATGGCGAGTGGTTGGTGCCCGTGGGCCGCTGCAGCTGCAGTGCGGGATTCCAGGAACGCGGTGACATCTGTGAAGGTATCCAGCGAACTAGGGTGTGTGGTACGGGAGCGTAACCCGCGCCTGTGGCAATTGGAAGAGAGAGTGCCCTAGATGAAAGAGGCTGGAGGGGCGTGGAGACTGGAGTCCTGAGTCATGAGCTTTTGCGGAGCTTCCAATGGGTGAAGTTACTAGGCCAACGAATGAAGTTACTAGGAGGCGAATTTGACCCCATGCAAGGGTCATTAGGGGCCTGTATTTCAGGCATTATGATAAGCACCTCACACAGGTCTTTTCATTTATTCAGGGCAATAAAGTCATCATCTATATTTCGCAAATGAGGAAAGAGGCTCAGAGAGATTAACACTTCACTTGCAAAGTTAGGAAAAGGGGAACCAGGATTTGAATCCAGGTTTGCCTAACTCTCAAGTTCTACTACACCATGGTGCGCCCCCCATGCGTAAGGAAGATTTCTACAGCAGCCTAACTCTACTAGCTATTGGCTAGTGAGTTGGTTACATTTTAGGGAGTGAGCTCCCTGTCACTGACAATACGCAAGTCAGAGGCTGGCAGGGAGATTCTTGAATTCGAGAGAAATTGGGAGTTTGCAATAGATGACTACTAATATCTCACCTAACTCTCTCAACTAGAGTCACTGTACCCCCCGGGGGAGACCCTCCATGTTGGGGTTTCTATGGGTTCTCAGGTCTGTGGAGGCACCAGGAGCAGACCTCTCCTTCTCTTCCTTATCTGTGGGAAGAGAGTATGGATGGGTGCACTTAATGGAGAAAGAGCAAGTGATGCTTTTTCTAAGCCATGTTCTCTTCTGGGTGGTAGGTCGACAGAAATGAATCAAGCATAGTCTCACCTTTTAAGCTCACAGTCTAGATGGAGAGATGTAAAAATTTTCAAATCACAAGAGGGTGATATATGCTCTAACAGAGGGATTAATACAGTGGTAGGAAGATAGAGGAGGAAGTGATGAAAAGTTCTTTGTTCATTCATTCATTCAGTATGAATTGAGAACATCTGCATATGTTGAGGGTTTATGATCTGTATCTAGATGAATGTCACCATCTCGTCCATGGGGGAACTTATGGCTTAGTAAGGGATTTGGAGGAATGAACCGCCCTGAGCTCTCCAGGTAGGGTAAGGATCCACCTCTGTTCTCCAGCACCTGTTGCAATCTTTATTTCTGCATTACCCCATGGTATGCAGTGTTCCACTGCTGGTCTAGGAACTTTTGAGCTCAGGCAATGGGTCTCAGCAGCCCCAGTATCCATAATAGAATATGGTATATGGTAGGTGACCAGTAGAAATGTATCAGGTGAATGAGTGGTTATGATAGGGTGTGGTATGTTATCAACAGAATGCTGAGGAAGCCTGGAGAAAGCAGAACCCAGTTCTAAGGGTGGAGAGAGATGGCAAGAAAGCCTTTCTTCTAGGCAGCGGAGAGCATTCTAAGAGACCGTGTGCAGAAGCATGGAGACAGGAGAAAATGTAGCATGGTAGGGGCTAGGCAAATCAGCATGACTGCAGCAGAGAGCATTTGGGGGTGTGAGGGGTGATGGCACTGGAGAGGGCCAAGGGCAAATCATGAAGGGCCTTGAACATTGGGATAAAAAAGAGTTTATGCTTTAGACCAATGGTATCCAATCTCTTTGGCACTAGGGACCAGTGCTCCTATGAGAATCTAATGCCTGATGATCTGAGGTGGAGCTGAGGTGGTGATGCTAGCACTGGGGAGCGGATGCAAATACAGATGAAGCTTCACACACTTGCCCGCCACACACCTTTTGCTGAGTGACCCGGTTCCTAACAGGCCATGGACCGGTACCAGTCTGCGGCCTGGGGGTTTGGGGGCCCTGCTTTAGACCACTTGGGAGGATATGAATTACAAAGGAAGGATTGGAGAAGGAAAAATTAGGTGCCAGAAGATGAAGAAGGAAGATGATAGAATAGCCCAGGAGAAAGAGCATAAGGTCTGAACTAAGGCAGAGGTAGAGATCATTGAGAGTTGAGGATGAATGTGAAATGAGACAGCATTCACAGCACTTGATGACCCTGTGATACAGGAGGAGAAAGGAATCTTTTTGACTCCTATGCTTCTGGAGGATTGAATGGACAAAGGGTCATTCTCTGGCGGTAGAGAACACGGGACATGGATAGATATATCAAATTTATGGAGTCTATAGTGCTTTCAAGTGGCGGTAGCTAGAAAGTGGGTCTGGAGCTCAGCAGCAGAAAGAGATGCTACCTGAAGCTGTGGGTGTGGTTGGGACAGACCAGGGGGAATGTGTGGGGTAAGAAGCAAGAGGGCCAATGATGAAGACTCACAGAACAGCAGTATTTAAGGGGAAGTAAAAGGAACAGAGCCCATAAAAAAAGGCAGTGGTCAGAGTTTGGAGGAGATGGAGGAGAGTGTGATTTCATGGCAGTTAAGGGAGGTGGAGGCATCTGAGAGGGAATGGCCTACAGTGTTGGGGAGCGGTCAGGTAAGGCAAGGATTGGACAATGTCTGCTCAGTGGCCCTGGTGAGAGCTATTTTAGTTGAGTCATAGGGAGACCAGCTGCAATAGGTTGAAGGATGAAGGAAGGTGAAGAGCTAGAGTTGGAGAAATGCAAACAGTTCTCTAGAAGCTGGATTTGAAAGGGGGAGAGGGTGTGGTATCTTGAGGAGGACACTGGGTGGGATGGAAGAGGGTTTTTACTGCAGATGGGAGAGCCTTGCTTATGAGGGAAGGAGCCAGTGGGGTACCAAGTGGAGGTGGGGGGAGCTGTCTGCCTCCGGGGGAAGAAATAGTTTATGACTGATGTTAGAATTGCTGACGCATGCTGCTAATAAAAAGCAAGCCGTGTTTTAGTCAGTTTTATTGTTTTTAGATACTGTACAGACAGTGCCCTACTGCCTACACCCTAAATGAGCTGCTTTTACTGATCCACTCCCTTGTTCTGTCACTGGGAAGAGCCAGTAGAGACGGAGCAGTGTAAGAGTCCTGATGTTAGGTGACTGATGGCATGTAGGCTGGGAAGCAGTGAAGGGGCAGGATTCAGAGTGAAGGAGGAGGGGCTGGTTTTCAACAGGAGGCCGTTCATACCCTCCACTAGGCCTGGAAAGAAAGAGAGGGAAAATGGGTGTGGATGGAGGTGTTTGTGGGTTTGATGGCCAGATGTTGAAGGAATTACCAACTGATGGCCTCTCTTCTTCCTATAAGTGGGAGGGAGGGCATCTGTACCAGTGAATAGTAGGATCCTAGTCTGTTTTCTTCACTGCTGTATCTCCATAGCCTAGAAGAGTACCTGGCTTGTAGTAGATGATAAAATAAAATTGTTGAATGAATGGGTCAGCAGCTGGAGGAGGAGGTTTGGATCTATACTCTGGGTAATCTCACACACACACACACACACCCCCTCAGGAACCTAATCCCACTCCGGAGCTGTGCTGAACTCTCTCTCCTTAGGTGGAGACAAAGGCCATTTCCAATGGCTTCAGATCCACTTTGGGGCGTAGGGAGCTGGAGATGATGCCAGGGAAAGCTTCACAGGGAAATTTTATTTTGAAATGGGGTTTGAAGAAGCATAGGAGTTTGTCAGGAGAGACGGGGTGTAAGACAATATAGGACAAGACCCAGAGGTGTAATGGGAAGAATTCAGTGTGGCATGGGTGGGGTGATGGCAGTGAGAAGCTGTTGGAGGGTTTTAAGAAGGGAAGTGGAATGGTCAGATTTGTATTTAGGAAGCGAAGGCCTTCCAAGTGCCTTCTGCAGCTAAGTGCAGGCCCCTCTCTAAAGGAGGATGGATGTTGAGGGGGTGGAGCAAAGATGTTTTCTCTACTTTTTGTTTCTCTCTTTAATGATTTTGATTCTTATTCCCCCTCTTCCAGCCACTAGAGGAATTATTAAAAGACTTGGGGGAAAAATCAGGACATATGACCTGTGTCTTCAAATCTCTGTAAGGGTGCCTACAGAAATTGAGGCAGAGAGACCCTAGCAGATATGTCCTCTAAGGCTCCATAGGGCACCATGAGACCTGTAATGGGATGGCACAAGGGGGATTACAGACAGGGAGGCTGATTGGGGCTCAACATAAGGAAACACTTTCTAAGGTTGTTGAGCAGAGACAGCCTTAGAAGAGGGTGGGCTCCTCATTATAAAATATATGAGCAAAGACTGTGGCTGCTGCTAGGAAAGCTGCTGGAGGAGTGGGCCAGCTGAGAATGAGATGACCTCTGAAATTCAAACTTTGACCTTGAAGAAGAGAGGGAGGGGCTGGCAGTCAGGAGTTGCTTCCTGAGTCTGCCATTCAACACAAACTTCTTCTAAACAGAGCCTCTCAAAGTAGATATAACCAATGCTCTCTCTGATGGGACCACCCATCTCTGGGACACAGATGCCCACATACACACAGAGAAAGGGAGCCTCCAGCAACCTTTAGCTGTGAGACGCTACAAACAGATCGCCTTTATTTGAAAGTGGGGCCAGCCAGGTGGGAGGGCAGAAGTGGGCAGGCCATAATTGTTATTACATTCGACTGAGGGTTTCTTGAGGCCAGAGAGGCACAGGAAGTGGCAGCGCTAATGCTGGAATCTGGGCCTTCTGAGTCCCAGCCAGGTCACTGCTGCCCACGAGACCACACACAATGTTAGTGGGTGCTGTGCACTGTTCTGTGGCAGAGACTTCCAAAGGCTCCTGAGGCCCTTCCTAAAGCTGGGTTTCCCAGGATTCTAGGCAAGATGGACCCTCCCAAACCTAAGCCTCCCAGATGATGGAAACCTTCAGCCCTTCCTCTCTTTTCCCAGGCAAGCTGAAAGTCCTTCCTGAGGGCTAGTCTGCATCCCTTCCTTTATACTATGCCCTTTTGGGGCTAGAGAGCAGACAGCTTTCTATAATCAGCTAAATTACAGGGGAAGGATAGAGAAGTCCCGGTGGGCCTAGGGAGCAAGGTGAGAGGGGCCAGGAGCCACTGCCTCTTTCCTTAGTTCAGCTGGTGAGAAATTTTTTAAAGTAGGTGTGTAGCAGTTTCCACTTTAGGCTTGTGATGGAGGAACGGTAATTAGTTCCATTAGTGTGTAAATGTTGTCTGTACTTGGTTAAGCAGTTTACAGGTCTTATCTCAGTTAATTCTCCAACAACCTATTTGAGGTAGTCATTCTACACGAGGCTCAGAGAGGTCAACCACCTTTTCCAAGGCCACACAGCAAATAAGTGGTATAACAGCTGTAAGCCCAGGTGGTTCAGTTATAAAAGCCTGTGCTCTCAACAACCCACGTTCTGAGTGAGCTGAGAGAAGCAAAGTGACTGAGAAGGTGTCAAGACTAGAACCAGGGAACTTTCACTGTTCTCTCTCTACTCTCTCCTACCTGGCTGGTCCCACTTTCAAACTGGGACCAACCGTGTGAGCTGAGGATTGATGACCCATTAACCTCGAATAGTGGTGGGAGGATGAGCTGGCAATAATGTGTGTGCGTCAGAGTGTTTGTCTCTGTGTAACTGGGAGTGGGTGTCTGTCCCTAGGTAACTCTCTTCTGTCGTCACATCAAGACTCATTTTGGCTCATTTTCTTCCAGTGGGCACTGGGGCTCTGCAACCAGTCTGCTGGGTCAGAATCCTACCATTTACTAGCTGTAGGATATTGGGCAAGTTACCAACCTCTCTGAGCCTTAGTGTCCTCATTTTTTAAGCGGGAATAAAGCACATACCTCACAGGTTGTCGTGAGGATTAAATGGATTACTAGAAGTAAAACTCTCCAGTGTTTTGGCACACATTAAGTGCTTACTCAGGGTTAGGGAGTATGGGGTTGTTCGGTCAGGAGCTGCCACCCCATAGGGCAGTGCTGTAGTAGCTGAGATCCCCCTCCTTTTACCCACCACAATTAGAGGAGATAAGCCCTACCCTAATGAGGACTGGTAGGAAAGTAGGCGAGAGAGCAGCTGTGGAGGATACCCTTCCTTCTCACACGGCTCCTCCTCACAGCCTGTCCCCCAGGGTTTTACAAGGTGTCCTCTAGGCGGCCCCTCTGCTCACCCTGCCCAGAGCACAGTCTGGCCCTGGAAAACGCCTCCACGTTCTGCGTGTGCCAGGACAGCTATGCGCGCTCGCCCACTGACCCGCCCTGGGCCTCCTGCACCCGTGAGTTGCCCTCCCAACCGCATTATGGAGGGTGGATGGGTGGGTGGTGGTCAGTAAAGGGAGAATGTAAGTGTTGGTGAGGGCAGAGGGCTCCGCACTGGGGAGGAGGAGAGTGGGTCAGTGGCCCGGGGTGGAGGGAGGGGAACCTGGGGTGGGAATGGGGGCCAGGGTTTTGGATCCGAAGAACCAGGAAAACAGGTAGTGTTGGGACAGAGGGATGAGGCTGTGCTTCTAGACAGATCACCTAATGGACCGACCCCACCTCACCTCATTCTACTCTCCAGCCCTTCACACTCTGTTCTGGGTCTCAACTCCCCCATCCTCATCCCCTCACTAACCTCCTCCCACTTCCTCACTGGCGCCCACACCCCTGTCCCTCCGCACTTCACCTGCTCCCACGCCCTTTCCTGTACTCCCCCTCGCTGGCCCCACGCCGGTCACTCCCGTTTCACCTGGTCTTCGTCCCCGTCTCTCCCTCTCATTGGTCCCGCAGCCCGTCCCGCCCCCTGGCTGGCCCCCACGCTCCGGGCCCGTCCCCTCGCTGCCCTGCGCAGCTGTTCCCCCGACCCCCACCCGCCCTCTGACGGCTTCCGCTCCCTGTGCCGCCCCAGGGCCGCCGTCGGCGCCGCGGGATCTGCAGTACAGCCTGAGCCGCTCACCGTTGGCACTTAGGCTGCGCTGGCTGCCGCCGGCCGACTCCGGCGGCCGCTCGGACGTGACGTACTCGCTGCTGTGCCTGCGCTGCGGCCGCGAGGGCCCGGCAGGCGCATGCGAGCCGTGCGGGCCGCGCGTGGCCTTCGTGCCGCGCCAGGCCGGGCTCCGCGAGCGCGCCGCCACGCTGCTCCACCTGCGGCCCGGGGCGCGCTACACCGTGCGCGTGGCGGCGCTCAACGGCGTCTCCGGCCCAGCGGCCGCCACGGGAGCCACCTACGCGCAGGTCACCGTCTCCACTGGGCCCGGGGGTAAGGCCACCCCGCGCGCCCAGACCTCTCCGTGCCAGAGAGAGGCTCCCGCCTCCTCCACGCCCCCGCACCCTCCCCAGGCCGCCTCCCTCCGTCCCAGCAGAGCACCCCTACACCCTGCAGCCACTCCGCATAAACCACAATCGCTGCCAACGCCACAGCAAACTGGCACCCAGCGTCTCTCCAGGAGATGAAATGACCACAAAAATCCCCAACCCTGGTGACTCCCACCAGGTCTCGGCTCCCTTTCCGATGGCCAAGCGGGCGGGGGTGACTCCTTGCCGCTGGACCAGAAAGGATGTGAGTGTTTAAGAGAGACTGCAGGAGCCAGTGGGCGCAGAAAGTTTTTTGCCCTACATCCAACTCTGCAGTTGCCTTGCCTCTACTTTCCCAGGGAAAAGGAGGTAGAAAGCCCTCAATCTTTTATCCTCCATTAAAAAAATTTCAGTAGGAAGCAGAATCATACCTCCTCTTCTCCTGTTTAGGAAGAGGGATCCTCTGTTCTTCAGCCTCCTCAACCTTGCATCAGCCTCTTTCCTGATCCTGGAAAAAGAGCAAGGAAGCACCTAGGGTCAGATAGAATCCACTGGTCAATACATAACAGTGACATTTCTGAGTCTGGAACTGAGATGAATAAATGAAGACCTACAACCCTTTTATACACCCTCTTCATTCTTGAAATTACTTTTGATTTGCCTCTCATTCAGCTGGAATACACCTTCAAATATTCTTTCGCAAGAGGATAAGTGAGTGGTATGGTTTCTGTCTTTTTCATATCTGAGAAGATATAATTGGTTTGTTACTAGCTCCCCTGTCTTCTGGTAGTTGTACTGCAGAAAGACTGAGGCCAGGATAATTGTCATTCTCTTCTAAGTAACTTGGGTGTGTGTGTGTGTGTGAGTGAGTGTATTCCGTTTTTATACATATATATGTACAAACACACACAGATGTGTGTAAAATTCATTAACCTACCCATGAAAATAAAATTTAACCAATAGCACTTTCTTTTCATTGAGGTTGACTGGAACATAGTAAAACTTTTAATTTGCACCTCTTTTCTTATTCCTGGAAAAAATTTTTTTCAGTTATTGCTTTGACTAGAACTTCTGATAGCTCCAGTATCTCTCTTAAGAATCTCTCTAAGCCTTAGGTTGTACATCTGTTTTCTGATTCTTAAATCTTGTCACTTCCTTTATCATTTTTAGCTCTTAATCCATTTCCTCTGCCTTTGGGGAGAGATTGCCCCATTTGTCTGGTTTTCTGTAATGACAGTTCTGTCTCTTTTTACTATCTCTATTGTGATTTAACATTTGCTATCACATTTACATTTTTAAAATTCAGCATAGAATAAAACGTACCCATAAATCTATTACCCAGAGACAAACAACTATTAATATCCTTCCACATTTTTTCCTGTTTCTATCTCTATAGTCATATCTAGAACTATCTATTGTAAAATCCCTTTTGTATAACACTATATGTAATATAAATTTTTAACTGATATTTCATACTAACAATCCTGTTGTGTTGATAGACATGGATTTAGAAACTCTGTTAAGGAAATACTCTTATTTCCATTTATTAATAACAATACTAAATTTGCACCGACTGTTGCTCTGTTGGGCACTGTGCAATATGATTTTCTACATTCATTTAAATGGAATGATAATCATCTCTCAACTGATGAAACCGAGGCCTGAGAGGCCAAGTGAATTGTCCAGAATCAGTCAGCTAACAACCATCTTTGAACTCAGGTCTGTCTACCTCCAAAGCCTCTTGGCCATCTAACGCTTTAACTTTTTACTGAACTTTTTTTAAAAATCAGGAACGGAGGTTAATTTTATAAAATACCTAAGCGTATTTCAAGGTGACCACATGTTTTATTCTCCTTTGACTCTTTCGTATGATAAATTCTGTTAATGGAGTTTTCAGTGTGAACTCTCTTTGCATTCTTAGATTATACCCTACTGGATATGTGTGTATTGTTCTTTTAATATTTTGCTGAATTAATTTGCTTGAATTTTAATTTTTTTCTGTCTACATTTATAAGAGAGATTAGTTTAGTGTTTTTAATTGTTCTTTGTCAAGTTTTGGCATTATGGTAATTCTGGCTTTGGAAAAGGCATCAGAGAGAATGTCTTCTTTTTTTCTGCTCTGGAACAGTTTAAAGAGTGCAATTATACATTCTTTGAAGGCATGCAAAACTGCCTGGTAAACTCTCTGGGACCTGCACCTTTTTTGGGGGGGTGGGGGTGTTGTGACCGGAATAACCGGACTCAACCTGAGTGCTTTGATTATAGAGGCAGTTTATTAGCCGGCGGCTGTCCTTCCAAAGGAGCAGCCCCGAAATGCCAAGATACAAGGTTTTTAAGCCCCAAATCCCATTCCTCATTCTGTCTTAAACACAAAGGTCCATCTTTCTCCTATTCACTACCTGTCAACCCACTGGTCAGGTGTGCAAGCGGGAAGTACAGAAGCAGAAAGCTTGTTGTTATGTTCCTATGAGCGATTGCCTATGTTCCCATGGGCAATAGCCAGTGTTCCCATGGGCGATGGCCAAACAGTAATTTTCAGCTTATATAAAATTGATTATTTTTCATGCCACGCAAGCAAGCAGGGTTACACAGGCTTAAATTTGCAGTTGGCGTATGAGCTCATTGTTACAAGTTTCATGATTAACAGAATGTGGTTAGGGGTTCCAAAAACTAGGCCTAAGGTATGGACTTCCTTTGTCCAGTTTCAGGTTTTAATTATCCTTTAACCCTTTCACATTTCAGCAGGCTATTACAGGGGGAAGTTTGATGATATTCTCAATCTTTCCATAACTTCTTGAATCAGTTTTGGTAATTTGTGCTTGCATAGAAAATATTTGGATAATCTTTTTCCTAATCATTAGCCTCAAAATGTGTATTTTAAAATTTTCCTCAGAATCTGGAGTTAACTCTGTTTTCCTTCATGTTGTATGCTTGTGATTTCTCTTTTTTTCTTAATTATCCTTGTCAGAAGTTAGTTTTATTAATTATGACAGAGTCTGCTCTTGAATTTATAAATTTCACTGCCCTTTTGTTACTTATTTTATGATTTTACATTTATTAATACTATTCTCCTGCTTCCCTGAAGTCTTTTTCTAGGTGAGTTCAGTGCTTAGTTATTTTTTGTTTTAATATATTAAGCCTATAAGTTTTCCTCTGAGTATAGTTTTGGTCACATCTAACATGTTTTTATACGTAATATATAACATTGTTAGTATTGTCAGTATTCTTTTGAGATATGATTCACATACCATAAAATTTCACATACCCTTTTAAGTATGCAATTCAGTGGTATTTCATCTATTCACGAGGTTATGCATCCAGCACTATTTCCAGAACATTTTCATCACCCCAAGAATCCTGTTAATAGTCACTCCCTATTCTCCTTATACCTCCAGCCCCTAGTAACCACTACTCTACTTTCTCTCTATATATATTTGCCTATTCTGGGCATTTCATATACATGGAATTATACGATATGTGGACTTTTGTGTCTGGCATGTTTCACTTAGCATAATGTTTTTAAGGTTCATCCATGTTGTAGCATGTATCAGTATGTCATTTATTTTTTGTGGCTAATGTTCCATTATATAGTTACATCACCCTTTCATTTATCCATTCATCAGTTTATGGACATTGGGCTTTTTCCACATTTGGGCTCTTATGAATAATGATGCTGTGGCCATTTATATACAAGCTGTTGTGCAATCATATGTTTCAATTCTCTTGCATATATATCTTGGAGTGGGATTGTTAGGTCATATGGTGTTATGGACAGACTTGTGTTTCCACCCTGCCCGCCAATTCATGTGCTGATTCCCTAATCCCCATTGTGACTGTATTTGGAGATAAGACCTTTAAGGAAATAATGAAAAGTAATGAGATTCTAAAGGTGGGGCCCTAATCCCTTGGGACTGGTATCCTTATAAGAAGAGAAGGAGACACCAGAACTTAGTTGCTGTCTCTGAGTGTACACAGAGGGAAGGCCAGGTGAGGACACAGCAAGAAGGCATGCTGTCTGCAGGTCAGAGAGTCCTTATCGGAATACAAATACGAGTCTTCAAGCATCTTGATCTGGGATTTCTAGCCTCTAGGACTGTAAGAAAATAAACGTTTGTTCTTTCGGTCTAGAGTATCTTGTTATGACAGCCTAAGCTAACTAATACATATGGCAAGTTTTTATCTTTCCGAGAAACTGTTTGAAGAATTATATATATATAACATATATTAATATATATATGCAGGGCAGTGCTCCCTCTGACTGTTCCAGGGGATAATCCTAACTTGCTTCTGTCCTCTGGTGTTTGCTGGCAGTCCTTGGCATTCCTTGGCTTGTAGATGCATCACTCTAGTCACATGGCCATCTTCTCCACGTGCGTATTCATATCATCTTCCCTCTATATGAGTGTCTGTCTTTGTGTCCGGATTTCCCTTTTTCATAAAGACATTGGTCATATTGGGTCAGGGCCACCCAAATAACCTCATTTTAATTTGACTACCTCTGTGAAGACCCTATTTCCAAATAAAGTCACATTCCAGAGGGACTGAGGGTTAGGACTTCAACTTATCTTTTTCTGGCGGACACAATTCAATCCTTCACAACCCTTATCAGATATATGATTTGCAAATATTTTCTCCTATTCTGTGGGTTGTCTTTCACGTTCTGGGTAGTGTCCTTTGAAATTCAAAGTTGTAAATTTTGATGAAGTCCAATTTATCTCTTCTTTTCTTAGGTGGTTTGTGCTTTTGGTGTCATATCTAAGAAACCATTGCCTAATCCAAAATCACAAAGAATTATACCTGTGTTTTCTTCTAGTATCGTAGTTTTGACTACAAAAATTATTTTAGAGAACGTGTTTTAATTTCTGGATGACTTGCTTTTATTATATCTTTTGTCTTCTGAGTTTACTGCTCCATAATTAGAGAAAGAGGTTTGTGCTGTTTTTGCTTTTTAGAGTAACTCTTGAGGTTTTCTTTGTGGTCTAATATATGGTAAACATTTTAACTATTCTAAGACTACTTTAAAACAATGTGTAGCATTTTCGTTGTGTAGTATCCTTCCCTTCCCTCATTTTCCTTCCTCTCTGTTTTTAGCTCCATGTTCAGCATTTATCAAGCTTTCATCTAATGTATGTCTGTGGGCCTGAAAAGGAACTTTCTCTTATGTCTATGTTCTGGCCATCTGATGATTTCAACAAATGTAGCTCAAAAAAATGATGCTCCTAGCCCCTTCCTCTCTGTACCCTCTATGTGTATCTACGAGGGACTACGCCACCTCCTGGGATGCTTCATCACTCCTCTTCCCTTTGTGCTCGTGTTTTTTCGGGAACTGCCATCTCCAAGTGGATTTAGGCTGAGAGACACTCCTGGGGATAAGGAAGAGCACTTTTCCTCAAAAGCAACTATGCAGTTGAGTGATGGCTCTGCATTGTCCAGTTGACAAAGACCTTGCTATTTTTTAAGGGTCAGACAGTGGGAGGAAGGATAAAGGACCTTTCAAGTTATTTTTAGGATAGGAGGCAATGCCACTCTGTGGACAGCATAGCCTGGGGGTTCACTACAATTGCAGTTTTCAGTCTAGTTCCACTGGCTTTATCATAGGTAGAAACATGCCACTCCACTGCTTCTCCCCATCCCCCATTCTGATAATCAGCTGTCAAGACTAATTTATGGTGATGTTATGGGTTTTCAACTCTTTCTGTATCTCTGTGTTTTAATTGGAATTTGAGAAAGATTGGAGGTGGGGTTGCTCGATGGATATCGTTGAAACTAGAAGCCACGTTCACACCCTTTTCAAAGAGTGAGCTACATATGCCCTGTCTCCATTTCTTGGGCCCATCACCACCTGACATCAGCTTCCCCTCGACCCCCCAGAGTCACTAGGAACCTCCGTATTGTTAAAGCCAGGGGCACTTTGAATCATCATCTTACTCCATCTCTTCTCAGCATATGACACTGCCAACCACTGGCCCCTCTTGTTGGTAAACTTGCATTGAGCGCTTGCTCTGTGTTGTGTATTGTGCTTAAGCTCTTCATATTTATTACTTCATGGACCCATGGCTAATACCTGGAAGTGTCAGGAGAGAAGCTTCTTAAATCTTCTCTCCCCAGGACTTTCGTGACCTCGTTTGCTTGTTTGGTCCTCCTGTTAACTCTGGCTCCTCCTTTTCAAGCTCCCTTTTCCCTCGTCTGTCTCTTAAATGTTGTTTCTTGGGCTTATTTCCTAAACTTTTTTCCTCCTCTCTTTCTGGGTAGTTTTACTCAATCACTTTCTGATGGGTCTTGGGTCTCCATCTTCCTCCCAGACATCTTTTGTGAGCCCTGGAACCACTGCTGTCTTTCCAGTATCCTCTCTTGGAAACCCCTCGGCTCAACACACTGAAATGAAGTCGTGATCTTTCCTCCTAGTGACCTGGTGGTCCCTGCCTTAGTTCAGGCATTAGTACCTGTTTGTATCTTTGTTTTGCTGCTGTCTGTCGACATAATCTAGACTAGTGGTTCTCCAGCTTGTCTACACATTGGAGTTACTGAGAAGCTTAAAAAAAATGTATATATATATACGGATGCCTGAGTCCCATCCCACAGAGATCATGATTTAATTGCTTTGGATTGTGACCCAAGCATCAATATATTTATTTTATTGTGGCTAAAATACTAAACAGAATTTAGCATCATAACTGTTTTAAGAGTACGATGCAGTAGTGTGAACTGTATGCACACTGCTGTGTAACAGATCTCTAGAATTTTTTCATCTTGCAAAACTCAGACTCAGTGAACAATTGAACAACTCCCTTTCCCCCCGCCCCAAGTCCCTGGGTAGTTCTATTTCGTAGTTGTTATGGTCATTCTATTTCTAATTCTTCGAGGTACTTCTATACGGTTTTTCATAGCAGCTGCACCATTTTACATTTCCACCAACAGAGAACAAGGGTTCCAATTTCTTTACATCCTTGCCAACACTAGTTATTTTCTGTTTTTGTTTTTGTTTGTTTTTTGTTTTGTTTTGTTTTGGGTTTTTTTTTATAGTGGCCATCCTAATGGTGTGAGGTGATATCTCATTGTGGTTTTCACTTGCATTTCTCTGATGATTAGTGATATTAAGCATCTTTTCATAGGCTTATTTATAAAATTCCTGTGTATTTTATTCTTTTTGCTGTTGTAAATGGAGTTGTTTCCTTAATTTCCTTTTCAGATTGTCCATTGTTAGAGTATAGAAAGGCACTTGATTTTTACATGTCGATTTTGTATCTTGCAACTTTGCTCTATTTATTTAATAGTTCTAACAGGTTTGTGTGTGTATGTGTGGAATCTCTAGGGTTTTCTACATTTAAGATTATGTCATCTGTGGACAGAGATAATTTTACTTCTTCCTTTCCAATCCGGTTGCCTTTTATTTCTTTTTCTTGCCTAATGGCTCTGGCCAGGACTTCCAGTACTATGTTGCATCGAAGTGATAAGAGTGGACATTCTTGTCTTGTTCCTGATCTTAGAAAGCTTTCAACCTCTCACTTTTGAGTAAGATGTAGGCTGTGGTCTTTTTATAATGGCTTTTATTATGTTGAGAGAGTTTCCTTCTATTTCTAGTGTATTGAGTATATTATCTCTTGACCAGATCATCAAAGTGATTAAGTAGCTGTTTTTTCTGTCTGTTCCACTCTCTAATGTCTCTAAATTTTAGGAAGTATAGAAAGAGCCCAGGGTATTAGAACCAACCACTCTAAGGGAGCTGGAAAGTAGGGGATGGGTAAGCAGCAGGATGCCTGGTGCTTTCCCTGCTAGGAGCCAGTGAAGTGGGGAGCTGTGGGGTGACAGGGGCCCACCTTCCCTCTGGTCCCACACACAGCCCTTTAGACCGCGCCCCCAGCCTTTGTTGGCCCTGCCCCAATCCCTGCATGCTCCACCCTTCCAATCCCCTGGCCTTGCCCTGCGGTCAAATCTGGCCTGAGAAACCCACATTACTTACTTTCAGGACCCTGGGAGGAGGATGAGGTTCGCAGGGACCGAGTGGAACCCCAGAGTGTGTCCCTGTCGTGGCGAGAGCCTATCGCTTCTGGAGCCCCGGGGGCCAACAGCACGGAGTATGAGATTCGCTACTACGAGAAGGTGAGTTGGGGTCTGGGAGGGACCTGGGGCTTCCATGCCAGGCTGTGGTCTGTCTCCCGCGCCAGTCCACTTCCTTTGCTTCACAATCTCCTCCCAGCAAAAGTCCTTTCTTTCTAAACATACGCACCCGCCTCCTAAATAGCCTCCCAGGCCGGAGTTTCCTCCCGTCCCCTCCACGCCGCGGACTCCCCTGTTCTTCCTTTTTCCCTCCAGTCTCTCTGTTCTTCGCCAAGCACCATCTCCATTTCCACCGCTTTGCCTGGTGTTTACAGTCGACGAAAAGCTTCCCCTGGAGGCCGATCCAGATTTCGTGTGCCCAAATCGTATACATACTCTTTGTTGCCCTTTTAAAGAAAAAGTTTGTTTCAGATTTTCCAAAGATGCATGACTGTCAGAGCCGTCGCTGGGTGAGGTGGTGCGCCAGGGCCCAGTGGTGTGCTGGCCAATGCTTAACACCCGCTCTCCAGAATAATGCGTGCACGAATTATTATTATAATTGGACTGATATAAAGGACACAGAACCCATCAGTTACAAATAATGGTAAAAAAAATAAAAATAAAGTGCTCCTTACTGTAAACTCCACATAGCCGACTGATTCTCACAGGATACTTTTGCTGATTTTTGCTGACCTCTTGTATCTGTTGTCAACCTGTGGTTGTGGTTCAACCATGATTTGACAGATGGAGTTACATCCCAATCAACTCTCTTTTTTCCCTATAAATTTTATTGTCTTTAATCTGGTATGTAATCTACCGTTGAACTGATTCTCACCTTAGTGCAAATGTTTTTAAAGTAAAACCTGGCTTTCAACTTCAGCACTACTTGTGTTGGAATTTCACTCACTCCTAGGTGACTCAGGGGAGTTCTTTGCCGAATCAGATAATAGTTTTTGAACGTCAGTTGTCTATTGAGAGCCATGACTGGGGCGAGGGGTGGGCGGCGGGTGGTTTTGAACAGAAAGGAGAAGTCACTGCCGAGCAGCCTCAAGGACGAGGTGCCACTGACTGAGGTTGAGAACCACTGAGGCGGGGAGGAGCAGGTTCGGGGGAAGATGATGAGCTTGGTTTTGCCCACGTAGCATTCAAGGGACCCAGGGGACACCCAAATGGACTTGCAGGTCTGAAGCTCAAGGGAGAGGTGTTTGCTGGAGAAAGAGAGAGTTGGGGGCTTTCCGCGTGGAGATGGTAGCTGAAACCAAGGGACCAGAAGAGATGACCAAGGAGGGGAATCTGAGTGAGAAGAGGGGCTAAGACCGAGCTCGGAGGGACCCTGCTGTTTAGGAGACAGCAGCGGAGGACACTAAGAAGGAGCGAGGCATGTAGGAGTTGCTTAGAAAGGGCTCACTGAACTGATACTCGGGAATCAGAGTCCTGAAGTCGAGCTGGATGCTGCCAGGCCCTCAGGGAGTGTGAATTTGCTGGGAACTAAAAGCCTCAGAAAGAAGAGGTAGTACACAAGGGACTCTATTTGACGTCTCCAGGAACATCTCATGGAGCCCAGTGACGGGAAGTGTTGCTGGAGCCACAGTGCTCCTCGTCTCGGCTTCTCTCCGCACACCGGTCCAGCCTCCTCTGCTCAGGGGCTTCCTGAGAGCACCGCATGCTGTTGCCAGGGTTGCAGCCTTGCTCCTCTCCTCTTCCCTGCCCCGTCCCCAGCCTGCCCCATCTCATAGGTCCCGCAGCCATTGCCTCATCGTGTTTCAGTGGATCGTTCACATGCCTGGAAGGGAGATTCTGATTGGCCCAGTTTGGGTCAGAGTCTGCCTCAATTCCTGAGCACCATGACTAAAGGGCCAGGGCCACAGACTATTGGGAAGGTGCCCTTCTGAGGGCTGCGGGTGTGGCAGGGGCTCTAATAAGGGAGTATGGGCAGAGACAGAATGATGAGAGTGTCTCAGGTACATGCCATTATCAGAGGTGTTGGGGGCAGCAGAATGTAGAATACAGAGCATGGGATCTGAAGGAAGGAAGGTGTCACCCTAACCCTTCCTTGATGTGACCTTCACCTAAAAAGAAGTTACAGATGCTTTTGCAAGAATCATAGGAAGTTGGGCATCGAAAGGGTCTAGCACAGCAGCTGGCAGTGAGCAGGGCCTCATTCCATGACAGCTGTCATTGTTCCCACTCTCCAGTGGAGGCCTTGGATGAGCCTCTCTACCTCTCTGAGCCCGATTTCAATGATCCGTGAAACAAGACAAACAAACAAACAAACTAAAAAGATACCTCCTGTCCTGTGCCTTGCAGGACATTTGTGAGAATCAGATGACAAGGGGAAGGAGAAGTTTTGTGAGCAGACAAGGACCAGGCAGCTGTCAGGGCTCATTTTCTTATTCTTTCCTCTGAGGCGTCAGGCCCACCTCACCCCCTGGACTGCCAGGCCCTGATGTTCATCAGCCTATCACCCTCGAAAAGGATGATCTAGCACCTTCTCTAAAGTTTCTCTTACTCTGAGGTGGGGCTGTGCTCACCGAGTGTGGGGTGGGACCTCGTGGTGGAGAAGGGTTGGGGATCCTATGGAAGAAACCTGTGGAATCCCCCAAGACGACTGGAGTCAGGTTCTTCCACGTGGCCCACGTTCGCCTAAGGGCACTCTCCCAACTCCCTTCTCCGTTTTCTAGTCCTTCTCCCAGAAGCGTGGGTCTGGCCCTGGGTCTGGACCTCACTTCTTCATCCCTCCTCAGGGCCAGAGTGAGCACATTTACTCCACGGTGAAGACGGGAGCGCCTGCGGTCACTGTCACCAACCTGAAGCCGGCTACCCGCTACGTCTTTCAGATCCGGGCGGCTTCTCCAGGGCCCTCGTGGGAGATCCAGAGCTTCAACCCCAGCATTGAAGTACAGACCCCAGGGGAGGGTAAGTGATGCATGACAGTGGAGAGGGGCCGGGCAGGGAGAACCTGGCATGGGGCTGGGGCATGAGATAAATTGGAGGGGGGATTATCTGTGCAATTAAGGGAGTCTGCAGACCAGTTTCATTACAACCTACTTAACTAATGAATTTGGAAGCCATTGACGGATTGATGCCAATCAGTGACATGAATTAGATTGGGTCCCTGCCCTGGAGGAGCTCACAGAAGAGGGAGCCATGAACACATACACCGCAGGACTCAGCTGGTGGCTCCTGCCTCACTGGACTTGTCCCATGTTTTATGGAAACATCCTCTGCTCTCCCCGTGAGAGGAGTTTTGGTCTCATGGTCACCTTGCTAAATTCTTGTTCCCATTCTGCTTCTTTCCCTCTGCCGTGATGTGGACCCAACTGTGGGATGCTGTGTTCCTTTCCTCGCTTGGCCTTAGAGTGTGGAGCAGACTTCACTAAAGATTCGGGGCTGTGAAGGGGGTCGCACTGCAGCAATCAACAAAACAAAACAAAATGAGAATTGTATACTTTCGATGGTGAATTGTGTGGTCTGTGAATAATTTCTCAACAGAGCTGATATCAAGACAAAAGAAAACAAAGGAAAACGAAAGCCGAACATTAGAAACCCTGATGCTAAAACAGCTCCAGCTTCTCCACTGCATTGTGCTGCTACGGCCCCGCTTCACATTCCTATCCTGGTTCCTTTCCTCTCACCCACCCACCCCCAGATTCCCTTTCAGGATGCACGCAGAGCATTGAGTTCCCTCTTTTGTCATTTTGCCTGCTGCTACCCCAGCCCTCAGGGTCTCACCTCTATCTACCCTGAGCAGCTCATGAAAGTATTTTCCCGGACAAAGGCAATTCCCCCTAAGAGGCATTCTGGCACCAGCTGTCAAGATAATAATTCTTTCCAACCTGCTACATGAGTCTAATCCAAGATAGGAAGAGCTCTGAGCCCAAAGAGAGGTAGAGATAAAATGTTGAGGGAGTCGGAGTTCTGGGAAGGGAGACAGCACTTTTTGCTCAAATGCCTGTGTGTGCCAGACCTCAGCCAGGTGCTGGCAAGAGGAGATTAGAGCCATGTCTTGATGGCTGGGGAACATTTGAATGTTTGGAGATGGGCAGGGAAGGAACTTTAGGTAGAGGAAGCCATTTGAACAGAGGCTCCCGGGTTGGCTGGAGTGAGTGTGGCTGAGGCATGAGCTGGGTCTCTTGGCAGAAAGGGGCTGATGACTTCCATTCTTTCGGTGCTTCTAAGTTAGTAGATACTACTCAGCTCCCCAGCCTCTTTTGCTGTGGCCGTGGCTGTGGGGTGTTGGGTCTCCCAATCTGCCGAGTACTTTTTCCAGCGAGCTGGAACCCCAAGTCAGGATCACGATGAGAGACCATGCTTCGCCATTGTATTAGTTATCTCTTGCTGCATAACAAATTTTCCCCAAAACTTAGCAGCTAAAAAACAACAAGCATTTGTTATCTCATGATTTCTGTGGGTCAGGAATATGAGTGCAGCTTAACTAGGGCACCACTTGGCTCAGCGCCTCTCACAAGGCTGCAGTCAAGGTGTCCTCTGGGGCTGCAGTCATCTCAAGGCTTAACTCGGGGGGAGACCCTGCCCCTGTACTTGAGTTCTCGCTGGCTTTTTGCTGGAGACATATAATTCCTGGCCTCCTGGGCTTCTCCATGGGGCTACTCGTAACACAGCAACTAGGTTCTATTAGAGACCGTGGGTGAGCAAAAGGGCACTCAAGACAGAAGCCACAGTCTTTTGTAACCTAATCTTGGAATGACATCCCATCACGTTGCCATAGTCTCTTCATCAGAAGCGAGCGACTAGGTCCAGCGCACACTCACGGGGAATGATTACCAGGAGGTGGGGATCCAGGAGGGCCATCTTAGAGGCCGCCTTCCACAACCGCCCCGTCTCCATTCTCCATTTTCCTGTCTACGTGGGCACCTCATGTCACACAGTCCTTAGCAACTCCACTCCCTGGCCCCCGGCCAGACCCCGGGCCATGTTCTCTACCTCTGAAGCCCTGGGCTCTGAAATCCCCTCACTGACCCTGGGCTCCTTGGCCTCTAATGCTTCCTTCCTCTCAAGTCCCTCCTCACTTGCTCTGTGGCATCCTAACAACAGCTCTTGGGTCTGACTTTATTTCCCAGGCTCTCAGCCCCTCCAGGCTACACATTCATCTCTACTCAGCCACTGCAGATTCTCCTGGCAGGAATATTCACCAGCTCTGCCAGCCCTCATCCCCTGGACATTGTGCTGCTCTGGCCCTGCTGGTCTACCGACTTGGGCCATCCTCTTCTGTCCTGCGCCACCACTGCCCCCGGAGGTATATTTTTCTAATCTCAGTTCAGTCTTCAAGGCTGTGCAGCATTTTCCCCATTCTCGATAGTTACCTCAAACCTCACCTCTCACAGGCCCCTCCCCTCGATCACCCACCTCCAGCAGATACCCTCCTTCCTTTCCCATGGGGCAGGAGCTCTGTCCATTGCCCCCCTGGCTCCCTGTGACCCTCAGGGTAAAGTCCGCACTCCTTGGCCTAGCATTCGAGGCCCTCCAGGTTCTGTCTCCTCTCCACTTCCGTTTATCCTCCTGCCTTCCAGCTTCACATCCTGCCACTCTCTGCCTCCATGCAGTCTCTTTCCAGGCACATGGGACAACTTGCCATTTTCCAGACCCAGCATGTGCATCTAAGCATCAACAACCCTGTCAGTCTTCCAGGTCCAGTGCCGATGACACCTCTTCTGCAAAGCCTTCCTCACTTTACTGGCTTAGAAAGAAACGATTGTGTCTCTGCTCAGCTGTGTTCATTTCTCTGTTTCTTTTTCATTCCACAATTAAGGCTTTTGTTTTTCTCTCTCCCACTGGTCTGTACACTCTTCCGGGGCAGGGATTCTGGCTCATTCATTGCTATCTTCTCACTGCTAGTGCCAGCCTGGCACACATGTTGGATGGATGGATGGATGGATGGATGGATAGATGGATAGGGCTGAGAGCCTGGGTCCTCCAGGCCCCTCCCCTGGTGAAATAGTTCAAAGCAGAGGCTTTTAGAATCAGGTTCAAATCTTAGGCTCATTATTTGTTAGTTGTGTGATCTTGGGGGAAATTACGCAACTTTTCTCGTTGTCAGTTTCCTTAGCTATAAAATGGAGATGATAATATTTTACTGGCTTATCGTGATGATGAAACAGGATCATTTAGTTAAGGCACATGGCATAGTGTCTGGAATGGAGTAAGTGTGCATTAAACGTTAACTCATTATTATTGGCGGATGGTCTGGTTTGGGGCTGGGGAACTCAGACGAGAGGCCATTCCCCCTGCGGAGCTACCTTAAGTCTCTCATCGCCCATCCGAAAGGCAAAAAGGGAGACCCAGGCCTGCCTTTCTGGACCCCTGCTCCTCTCTCTCACAGCTGGGCTGCAGTGGAGGTGCCCTGCTCTGGGGGAGAAGGAAGCTCCAGGTGCCACTGTGGTTGGAGGGGCTGACTCGGTCCCCTGCCACAGGAAGACCGGGCGAGTGCAGAGGTGCTGGGGGAAGCCTGCTGTGGGGTGAAGACAGGCGTCTGTCCGGGGGCTTACCCAGGAACCTGGTCCTCTACCTGTCTCAGCCTTGTGGTTTTTCTCCCAGCTGTCTCAGGGTCCAGGGACCAGAGCCCCGCAGTTGTCGTCACCGTGGTGACCATCTCAACCCTCCTTGTCCTGGGCTCCGTGATGAGCGTGCTGGCCATTTGGAGGAGGTAGGTGGCCGGTCCCAGCCTGGCTGGCCCCTGGCGAGTCGTGTCCTCATGCACATTAATGTGCTCACAGGCACCTATATCTGTACCAGCGTTTGCACACATGCAGATTCGCACATATAAGCACACGGCTGTGTAGATAAGGCGAGGCTAGTATGGCCCTGGCCCCTCCCCCCACTCTCTGCTCTTGCCTGCAGCCAGCACTGCAGCTAGCTCAGCCGCTCTGGAATAAAGGGGATTTAGCTCCTTAACTCCTTAAATGTCAGAAGGCATCACTGAGGATGGAATCAAGCTCTGGCTGTGCCACTGTGATTAGGATTCTCCTGAGGCGCTCAGAGGCCCCCAGCCCCTGCCTCCAAGGGGTCTTGAGGCCCTTGAACACAGGAAAAGGCAAGAAAGGCCTAAATTGTGTTGTGTGTATACGTGTGGGAGGGAAGATGACACGGAGGGGAACTCATAAACCAGAAGCCCCCAACCTCCATCCGAAGGAAGCTCGCAGGAGAGGGGGCAGGGAAGGGGGGTGGGAGGAGGGGAAAGCTGTGGAGCTTGCGTCTGTCTCCGGGAAGATCCCAGGCCCTTTGCACACAGCAGAAACTCATGGCATGTACTTCCCCCTTCTCCCCATGGTCATACTCTGCTATATGCAGAGGCGCCCCAGGCAGGTTCTGGGGTGAGGCTGAGGTCGGCAGACTTGAGAGGACAAGGAAAGTCTGCTCGCACAAGGCTGGAGTGTGGGGAGGGGAGGCGAGAAATGGGCTGGTCGAGCAGGCACATCTCAGCATCCTGGAACTGCCTGCGGGCTGGAGGGCCAGTGAACATTCATTCGGCCCTGTTTACTTGGCCTTGAATGAAGCACTGAAAGTGACTGAGGAGGGAAGGACCTTGCCCTACGGGTCTCGGAGTCAGCCCTGCCTGGGCCAGGTGAGTCAGAAAGGCAGGACGAACGGAGCAGTCTCCTTCCTCGCAAAGCTGAAAGGACCATACGTTAGACCTATTGGAAAAGCAGGCATGAAAAGGAGCTGAGAGCATCTTGTCCTGGCTGTGACTTTAGGGGCTCGGAGAGGCAGAAAGAGGAGAGGGGAGACAGGCGGATAAGGAGCACTTCTCTGGGAGGACTCTACAGGACCAGAGCAGCTGCTGCGGGGCTTGGAGACAGATGCACCAGGCAGGCAGAGTAAGCCAAAAGGGGCATTTCAAAATGTGCTCAAAATCAAACGTCAGTTAAATGGAGAGAAGCAGCCAGTCTCCTGCTGATGGTCATGGAGGCGAGCTCCTGCGAGTCCCGACTTCGCAGACCTTAACTTCTCTCACCCCCAACCCTCCTCTCCAAACCTCTGCAGTGCTTGCTCTGTGTAGTCGTCTCCTGGAGACCATGACCTTTCCCTCCTCAGCCCATCTTGGCTCACCCCATTTCTCACCAGAGGGTGTCGTCCGGTTGGACGCCTGTCATTTTCTCTGCCACGCCTCCATCCACTCAGCCTAGTCCCCTTCATCTCTACCCACCTCTCCGGGGTGTTCCTCTCATTCATGGAAGTCCTGTCACTACGCTGTGTGACTTCAGTAGCCATTGGAAGACCAGTCCCAGGCCTTGGCCTCTCAGTTCTTTGACTTCCTCATTTCCCTCTTCTGTCCCACCTCTGCCTCCCGCTCCTACATCCTGACAAAGACCTGGCCTCATCCCAAATACTGATCCAGTTCTACTTCGCCTTGCAGGTTCCCTGTCCTCACAGCCTGTTCCTTCAGCCACTGAGGCTGTACCTGCTCTGTAACCGTATGGTCAGCCCCGCACCTGCTCACCACCTGCCTCCTCCGCACCCTTCCTCTCCCTCCTTTCGCTCCAGAGGAGGTGCCTTCCTCTTAGCCGGGATCGGTCCTCCTGCCTAGGACCTGAACCCCTGCTCTCTTACATCTCAGGAACCCGTTACTGTTTATAATGTCCCTCTCTCCCCTGCATAACAGCTAACATTGATCGAGTTCTTAGTAAGCTCTTTGCAACAGAGCCATCAGGCAGGGCTGTCTTTATCTTGATTTTTTTTTCTTTTTTTTTTAAATCAAAGAGAACACTGAGCCATCCCAGTCCCACAGCTGCCAAGCAGAGGAACTGGGAAGCCAGTCTGTGCAGTAAGATTTCAGGGCTTCTGCTGTGAACTCCCCAGTGTGGCTACTTCACCCTCTAAGACATTGGGGGGGGGGCCTTTCTCCCTCAGTCCCGCCTCCTCGAGACTTCGTGTGACCTCTCCCCCTGCTCCACTTTTCCTTTCCGTGGTTCCTGTGACATCGCCGCCCCGATTTCCCTTTCTTTCCCTTCCGCTTCTCAAGCTGTTCTTTCGTGATCTCCTTAGCTTTCTCACCCCCGCCCCATCTGATCTCTAAAGGTCCGGGGTCCTCAGACTCGTTCCTGGTCACACTCCTCTCAGCTCCTGAACTCGTACCTCCAGAGAAACCTTGGTTTCAGACTCCAGACTCACACACGTCTCCCTACTCAGTGATCCGCCCGGCTTATCCCATAGGCCCTGCAGACTCAAGTGTCTGCACGTGAACTTGTCAGCTCCCTGCCCTGGTGAATGGGATCACCTTAAACTGCTGGGCAAGCTTTCTCTCTCTCCCTTTCTGCCTTCTAGCAATTTCCAAGCCCTGTGACCCTATCACCTAAATGTCACTTGAGTCCTCTCACTTTTTCTGGTCACTTCACAGCCTGAGCCACCACCATCTCCTGCAGGGACAATGGCAGCAGCTAGGGTGATCTTTCTAAAATGCAAATGGCATTGTGGCATGCCCCTGCTCAAAAGACCCTAGGGGCTCTCTTCTGTTGCCAGAATAAAAGCCAAAGCCTTTATCGGGCCAGCAAGGCTCTGCTCCAGGGGGCTCCAGATGCCAGCCTGTGGCTTTGTTGATGGTGATTGTGGTGCAGTCACATAGCTGCCTCTACCTCTCAGGAAGCCATCCCCATGGCCCCGGAAGGGGTCAGGCCCATCCATTATGCGTCCCCCGGCATGCAGCCCTTCTCCTTTGCTTGGCCCTGTGAGTGGGCTGTGGTTGACTCTCAGCATTCGTTTTCCTGACCAGATCAGAAGCTGCCCCTGAGTACAAGGCCTGCCTGTTTTGTGCACCTGTAGGCAAGGGAGCAGCTTGGGCCTAGAGTCAGGGGTGTGGATTTGGGCCCATCTGAAATGGCAAGAAAGTGCACCGTGTCTCAACGTGAAAATAGGAATGCTGACGGGGGTTGCATGTGTGCTGTGGGGAGGAGCTTTCAAGCCGCCCTTGGGGCACAGACCTGGTGCTTTGGAAGGGACAAAGAGGTGCTGCCCGGGTTGCGGATGAAAGGCGAAGGGCTGGGGCAGCCTGGCTCAAGGAATGACTCTGCACCCCCAGGCCCTGCACCTATGGCAAAAGAGGTCGGGACGCCCATGACGAGGAGGAGCTGTATTTCCACTGTGAGTTGTCCAAGCCTGGCCCAGGTCATGGCGGGCACTACCCCACCTCACCCCTCACCCCTCTTCCCTGCTGCCATTGCGTAACCCCCACTCCTCCAGCCACGGAGGCCCCTTTCCTTGGCCTCATCTCTTTCTCTCTCTCTGTTCCCAGTCAAAGTCCCGACACGTCGCACGTTCGTGGACCCCCAGAGCTGTGGGGACCCCCTGCAGGCTGTTCATCTGTTTGCCAAGGAGCTGGATGAGAAAAGTGTAATTCCGGAGAAGAGCCTTGGAGCAGGCAAGCCGGGCGTCCAGGAAGCCTTGTCCATCGGGGAGCCCCGCCTCCGCCCTAGCCCCGCCCACTCTAGAAGCCCCGCTTCCACTTCACCCCACCTTGATCCTGTAAGCCTGCCTCCACCCCAAGTCCCGCCCCCATTTCTGGAAGACCCGTCTTCACCCCAGTCCCCTACCCTGCCCAGGAAGCCCCACCTCCACCCGCCAGGTTCCAGGGTAAGGGGATGGCAGATGAGTCTGTGACCCTACCTTCCTACCTTCTCCGTCCCCAAGGTCACTGAGATCTTTCCATTCAGGCTCTTTCGAGGCTAGCCTTTGCAGACTGCCACCCGCAAAAGTTTAGTCCCAGGCCTTCATGGGGCAGTGGGGAGGGGACTTTGTAAGCTTAGGGGCCAGACATACCTGAGCTTTAGTCCTGGCTCTACCACTGACCAGCTGCGTGATCAAGGGCACATCCCTCTTCTGCTCTAAGCCTCAGTTTCTCATCTGTAAAATGGGCATCATGTCTGCCTCATGTGGATCTGAGGTGAGGACTTAACAGGCTCAGCCCAAGGCCTGGCTGATGGTGAGTGCTCGCCCCCTAACGGTTGGTCAGTTTCCTGGCTTCCTTTCTTCCTGTCTACAAACCATCGGACCCTGTGCTCAGAGAAGGCAGCCACTTTGACCAGGAGCCTGACGCTATATGCCCTGATGCTTGCCAGACTTGTTGAGCAGAAGTCAGAAAGAGGCAGTGTGGCAGAATGGTTGTCATTGTCATCCTTCCTGGGTCACACCTGGCTTTAATAGCCTTTGATGCACTAACATATAGAAAGTCCTCTCTTTGAGGCTCTGAAACCTCCCGCTGAGGCAGGCAGGGAGGAATCCCCATTTCCCACAGAAGAAAGCTCAGGCTCAGGGAGGGAAGGAGAGATGAAGCTCACATCACACTGCTGGTACTCAGTTTATCAGGATTTTAACCCAGGAGTTCTGAGTCCCAGGCCAGAAGCAGCTCCTGATCCAGAAATTGCTCTCTGCTCAGCTCACCCAGCCTGAGTCAGTCAGGGACTGGCCTCCAGGGGGGTGTCTGAGGTGCTGTTTCCCCGCAGGGCGGTTTGGGGAGCTGTGCTGCGGCTGCTTGCAGCTCCCTGGCCGCCAGGGGCTCCCCGTGGCCGTGCACACGCTGAGGGAAGGCTGCTCCGACTCTCAGAGGCTCAGCTTCCTGGCCGAGGCCCTCACCCTGGGTCAGTTTGACCATAGCCACATCGTGCGGCTGGAAGGTGTCGTCACCCGAGGTAAGGCCCAATGCTCCGCAAGGGAATTACAGATGGTGAGGCGGGAGGTGGGGTGCTCCTGTGCCTCCAGGCCCTTTCCTCAGCTGTGAGAGGGAGCCCCTAAGATGCCCAGCATGGGAGAGAAGGCCTCAGCTTTCTTTCACTGACTCAGGGTGGCCCCTCTGACCCTAAATGACCTCTCTGACTGTGGTGACACTTTGTGAGGTAAATTGCTTGGACCTTGGCTGATCTTAGAAAACTTGTTGCAGCTTCTGACCTTGGCCTTTGTCACCCTACAGCTGCCTCCTCTTTTGTTCTTCATCATAGAGGCTCCTGGGCTGGGCAAGAGGGTGGCAACGTTAGGGGAGAGTGGCCTTGGCTTGGCCATCTTGGCCCGGATCAGGGCCCAGGCGGAAGGAACATGTGTGCAGAAGGGAGCAGACAACTTAGCCCGTGTGTGTTCCCTGTCCCTGGGCACAGGAAGCACCTTGATGATTGTCACGGAGTATATGAGCCATGGGGCCCTGGACGGCTTCCTCAGGGTGAGTGGCCTGGGCCCTGGAGGGTAGAGATGACCATGTTATTCTTGGTTCCTTTTCTCTTTGGTGGGACTTGGAATTGGCATCATTCTCTAAAGGTGCCTACTGGCCAGGCTGACCTGGTGGGTCACAGGGCAGACTGAAGCCAAGAGAGAGCCACGTGACTTCCCTGGGTCACAGAGCACCAGGGGAGCTGCGTGGGCAGCCCTGGCCTCAGTCTCCTTCTCTCCCTCAGCGGCATGAGGGCCAGATGGCGGCTGGGCAGCTGATGGGGCTGCTGCCTGGGCTGGCATCAGCCATGAAGTATCTGTCGGAGATGGGCTACGTTCACCGGGGCCTGGCTGCCCGCCGCGTGCTGGTCAGCAGTGGCTTCATCTGCAAGATCTCTGGCTTTGGGCGGGGACCCCGAGACCGAGCAGAGGCTGTCTACACCACCATGGTGAGGGGTTCCTTCCCCCGGGCAAGCCTGCTCCTCTGTTTCCTGTCAGACTGCTCTGGAATCCCCATCTCCCCACTTCTACCCCCTTCCCCGCTGCATAAAGTCACCCCCCTGACCCTTCCCCTCCACCCAGTTGGTCCCGAATAAACGCCAGTGTGGACATCACCTTGTGGTCAGCCTGTGTACCTTCCCCAGATGTGCGGCTGGGAGGATGGCAGGTGGGGCTGCATCTGGGGCTCTGTGCGGTGGGGAACCTGGGTATAACCCAGTTCCTTCCTGCCCCTGACCTACCTGCCTGCCCACAGAGTGGCCGGAGCCCAGCACTGTGGGCAGCCCCCGAGACGCTTCAGTTTGGCCACTTCAGCTCTGCCAGCGATGTGTGGAGCTTCGGTGTCGTCATGTGGGAGGTGATGGCCTTTGGGGAGCGGCCCTACTGGGACATGTCTGGCCAAGATGTGAGTGACTGTGGCTCCAGCTCCTTCCCTTCCAATCCTCTTGCCCTCTGACTTCAGATCCCAGTTCCCTGACCCTTGACCTCCTAGCCTCAAGCTCCTCTTCACTATTTACTTGCTTCTTGTTCTTCCTGGCTACCACTCGAGTCTTCCTAGGGATGGGTGTGTGTGTGTGTGTGTGTGTGTGTGTGTGTGTGTGTGTGTGT